GGCCCGGTAGGCCTGTTTTTCACCCTCCCCAGGCTCCAGAGGCTTTCTAGAAGCATGGGGAGGGCGAAAACGGCCTTACCCACCCATCTCACCCCCAGAGGCCCTCCAGAGGCCGGAAACAGCCCATTTCCCAACTTCCAGTGGGACTGGAAGGCCCAAAAATCAGCTGGCCAGCGCATGCATGCGCACTGGAGCTGAGCTACAGCAACACTTGTGTGCCCACCAATATGGCTCCGTGCGCCACCTGTGGCACCCGTGCCATAGGTTCGCCATCATGGCTCTAACTCTATTCTCTGGTATATTGAGATAAAATCTATAACTTCTCCTTTCAGATTTTCCAAGTATTTCCCTCAATTTCTATTTCACTCTTGGTTCTGCTGAACCTTACCACCTTATAACTTTCTTTTAAGCAGTGTGTCTTGTTCAGAAGCTGGGTGAATTTGTGCATAAACACCAAAGATTCATTATGGGCATATTTAAAGAAAGTTAGTGTCAGCACTAGACAGTTAACTTGACAGTTAGCTCACTGATATCTATATAATTTTGGTTGATAATCCTATGCTGCCTCAATGTTTGCTTCTTTAAAAATTCTTTTTATGGACCTCTATTAACCAAACATTTTTGTGCCTCAGCTCCATATTTAACATCTATGAGTCATCATATCTTTCCTGTTGCCTCATCAACGGATTTATCTGATGGTTCCCAGATGCAAGGTTTATGCCATTCAGTCCCTTCCAAGTTTCTCTGAAAGCAAGTAGCATCTCGGTCCTTCTTACTCAAATGAGAGACCTGAATTCTTACAAACATTGACAAAGATGATTGCAAAAACAAAAACAAAAAAAACAAAAAAAAACAAAAAAAAACATGCTGGATTGATGTTTGAGACTGAAATTACTACTCCTAGAAATAACCATTGGAAATAAAAACAGAGGAATAAACATTTTACACGGTCGATTGCTTGATATGTGCCATCAAATCATCAAATCAACTCTTAGCCGACCGCCTAGACTTTCTCCATGATGATCTAACCTTAACTTGATCTTTGAAGTCTTTCAATGACCACAACACAAGACAACACAACACAAACTCTGTTAAAAAGAGAAAAGGGCCAGCTTTCCTTATGGATTTCGTCTGCATGCTGCAAGAGCTGAATGGAATTTATTTATTTATTTATTTATTGGTTCGATTTATATGCCGCCCTTCTCCGGAGACTCAGGGCGGCTTACAATGCGTTAAGCAATAGCCTTCATTCTTTTGTATATTTATACAAAGTCAGCTTATTGCCCCCACAAACTGGGTCCTCATTTCACCTACCTTAGAAAGGATGGAAGGCTGAGTCAACCTTGAGCCTTGGAGAGATTCGAACCAGCAGTAAATTGCAGGCAGCTGTCTTAATAACAGGGTGCGTAGACCACTGTACTATCAAGGCTCTTGTTGTATATACCTGCTTAGTAGGGCTTTCGGCCCTATTTCTGTGCAGATGTGCATAAATTGGCAAGTGTAAATTTATAAGATCCAGTTCTCAATAATATTTGAGTTCAATACAATAATTGTTCCATTAGGCTCGTGATGGCGAACCTATGGCACACGTGCCACAGGTAGCAAGTGGATCCATATCTGTGGGCACGCGAGCGTTGACGTAGCTCAGGTGCAGCACACATGTGCACGCCAGCCAGTTGATTTTTGGGCTGACTTCCGGTCCCACCGGAAGTCGGAAAACAGACAGCCTCTGGGGGGTTGGGGAAGGCTGTTTTTGCCCTCCCCAGGCTCCTAGAAAGCCTCTGGAGCCCGGGGAGGGCGAAAAACAGGCCTACCGGGTCCATTGTACCATCATGTGCCAAAAGCGGAGGTGGTGTGGGGAGGGTCGCACACGCATATGCGGGGGGCGGGTGCATTAAATGGTGTGTGGGCAAGTGCGTGTGACCCCACCCCCTGCACGACCCCCGCTTTTGGCACTATGGCAAAAAAGGTTAGCTATCACTGCATTAGGCCATGTAGTTGACTTTGGTCATTGACCAGCCTTATGTAACGTTGATTGATTGGTTGGTTCATTGATTCATCGATTCATTAATTGATTATGGGCCCATCACATTCTTTTCAACTCCTAGCAACCACACTGATAGATTTTCTCTGTGACAATTTATCCCCAACTTGGTCTTTCAGATCTTCAAACCACGCACTCATCACCCCCGTAATCACCATCTCCCTTGCTGCTGGTCGTTGTCTTTTTTTTTTTTTTTAATTTGATTTATATGCCGCCCTTCTCCGGAGACTCAGGGCGGCTTACAATGTGCTCAGCAATAGCCTTCATCCTTTTGTATATTTATACAAAGTCAGTTTATTGCCCCCACAAACTGGGTCCTCATTTAACCTACCTTAGAAAGGATGGAAGGCTGAGTCAACCTTGGGCCTTGGCGAGATTCGAATCTCCTCCTCTTCTTCTCCCTTCCGTTTTCCCAGCATCAGAGCCTTTTCCAGAGAATTGGGTCTTTCTGTGTTCAAAGTTGAATCATTTGAGCCTGATCATTTGTGCCTCCAGGGAGAATCTTGGGTTGATCTTTTTCAATAATCCATTGGTGTGTTTTCTTGGTTTTCTTACTCCAGGGGTGTTTTTTAACATCAAACTTCAAAAGCATCAGTACTCTTCCTATCACGGAGGTGGCCAATGTTGGGGAACAAATCTTTCCAAGTTTTTTTTAAAGTTCTCTTTAAATATGTTCATCCTCGACTTTTACAATAGTTCGTTTAGTGACTGCACAAAGTTACAATGGCACTAAAGCAGGGGTGAAATGCTCCCGGTTCGGACCGGATCGCCTGATCCGGTAGTGATGGCGGCGGGTGGTTCGGAGAACCTGTAGCAAACATCCCTCCCCCCCCCAATGTCCAGCTGAACCTCGCGATCATCAGAGGCTTTTTTTTAACTTTTAAAAGACTTTTTTCTTCGGCCGAAAAAATGCTTTTAAAAGAAAAAAAAAGCCTCTGATGATTGCGCGGCTCAGCTGGGATCGTCAGAGGCTTTTAAAAACATTTTTTTCTGCAATCTCTTCGTTGTAGAAAAAAAATGCTTTTAAAAGCCTCTGACGATCCCAGCTGAGTTGCCTGATCGTCAGAGGCTTTTAAAAGCATTTTTTTTAACAACCTCTTCAGCCAAAGGTAAGGTCGCAAAAGGGGATCACTTGATCTCGGGATACAGCAACGGTCATCAATATGAACCAGCTGCCAAGCATGGGAATTCTTTTCACGGGGATGCTGCAAAGGTCGGATTTCTATCAGCATCACTTCCTTGCAAAGACGACTTTGGCATAGATTTCTGCAGCCCCAATGCACATGGTGGGAGCATTCACTCGAGCGGGTTTTGTAGTTGAAAACTTATGCATACTTCAAGAACATGTTTATTTAATTTACGGTAGCCTTCTCCTGACCTAGAGGCATACATACAGACTTGGCTGCAGAAATTGTGATAGAGAGGTTATTTCCCTTTCTGTTAAAACTCTGCTGGCAAAAAAAAAAAGTATGGCCGTTTGTTTTTTCAGCTGTTACCCGAATTTACATCCCATCCGTGGAGGCTTATTACCCAAAAGTCATATCCACTGCGGCTTACTGCTTTTTATTTAAAAGCCTTAAGGTTTTAAAGTAATTTAATGGGGCTGCCTGAAATGGAGATGAGCACCGCAGATTAGGACTAATTCAACGGAAGGATTAAAAGCAGGAGAAATCCTGACAGTTCAAGCAACAATCCCAAAGATGCTTTTTCAAGAGGCAATTTGGACTTTTTCTCTTTTTCTTTCAAGACGTTTCTTCATTTCTCATCCAAGAAGCTGAAGAAGAAGCAGAAGACATCCAAAACGTCTTCAAAGAAAAAACCCCAAAATCCAGTTGCCTCTTGAAGAATCACCTTTGGGACAACCATGAACCTGATATTAATCCAGATGTTAGTTAGTATGCATACTAACTAATGCTCCCACTTCGGGACGTAGATTTTAATCTAGTACCAAGAGCCTTGGTACTACAGGGGTTTAAGGCACCCTGTTATTAAGCTTATTAAGACCAGCTGCCTGCAATTACTGCAGGGTTCGAATCTCGCCAAGGCTCAAGGTTGACTCAGCCTTCCATCCTTTCTAAGGTAGGTAAATTGAGGACCCAGTTTGTGGGGGCAATAAGCTGACTTTGTATAAATATACAAAAGGATGAAGGCTATTGCTGAGCACATTGTAAGCCGCCCTGAGTCTTCAGAGAAGGGCGGCATATAAATCAAATTAAAAAAAAAAAATCCAGATGTTAGTTAGTATGCCCAATCCAAGGTAGCCAAGAGATAACAGGTAAGGCGTGCAGAATTCAGTCTTTTTCTGAGCGGGAGACAATGCATGGCTAGGATTCATTCTAGGCCATCATGAAAAGAAACTACAGTACACAGAATCCATTAACGGGTAAACGTGCGGTGGGAATTGTTCAAGAAACTATAGTTTAAATAAACTGCGATTTAGAGGCAAAACGGATCAGGTGTCAGTCCGTACCCCTTTGGCACGGGCATTGAACCAGTCGAGTTGAACCCGAAGCGCTGGTTTGCTAAAACTGTTCCTAACCATTGTTAGCTTAGCTCCACGATCTTCCCTTCTTTCTGCGTCAAATATATTTCTTGCCACCGGCGCAACGTCCCTGGGAGAGGCTATGGGAACGCCGCCCGCGCTCTTGCACGCGGAGGTAAAGCGTGCACCCATTCACACGTTCGCGAGTCTCCCCGTCTCCCCTTTCCGACGTGCAGCTTCCCCGCTCTCTTCCCTTCCTCACCCCGCCCCCCACCCCGCGCGCCGTCTCCAAGCGATAACAAAACGTGGGCGTCCCGGAGCGCTTTTATTTTTTATTTTTGCATAGCTTTGCGCCAATGGGCCAATCAGCGGGCGAGATGCCCTCCCTGGCATTTGCATAGCGGTCGCGGCGAGCCAATGGGCTGGCAGGTTCGGAGCGGGTTCGGAACGCGCTGTTTGCAGCCAGCTGGCCCCGCGTAGAGAGCTGCCGTGCGACGCCGAGCGAGGGGATCCTTTTCGCGAACCCGTGGCTGGAACGGAGCTCGGCCCCGGAGCGGCCCTACTCTTTTGTGGGTAACACTTGGGACTTACGCCGCCTCTGCTGCTGTTGTTGCTGCTACGTCCCGAGGTGGGAGCATGTCGGTGGCGGGCTTGAAGAAGCAGTTCCATAAAGCTAGCCAGGTAAGGCAGAGCTGGCGCGGAGGAAATCTCATGGTGTGAGTGTGTGTCTGTGTGAGTGTGTTTCCTTTTTGCTCTCTGAACTTGCCTGTTTTCTTGCAGGCGTTTCGTTACCCCAAGCTAGTCATTCCCCCCAAGATGCTGCAATCGGACTTTCTGGCTTTTCTTTGAAGAGGTTTCGCTTCTCATCCAAGAAGCTTCTTCAGTTCTGACTGGATGGTGGTTGGGGATGGAAGGATTTATATGCTCCTTGCAGACAGCTTGGTCGTTGGCATCCTTTGTAGAGAGAGAAAAGGGTTGTGGACCCAAGAAGGCTCCACTATACCTTTGCGCTACTCAAGTGACCCAGAGGACACAGATAAATCTCCAAGTGGCCTCAAACCACTCTAAAAAGAATGTGAAGGACCAGCTGCCTGCAAGGAGTTATAAGTCCTTCCGTTCCCAACCACCATCCAGTCAGAGCTGAAGAAGCTTCGTGGATGAGAAGCGAAACGTCTTCAAAAGAAAAAAAAAACAAGCAAGGTTCAGTTGCCTCCTAAAAAAATACTTCTGGGACAACCATGACCTGGATGACTGAGAATCTCCATACTAGACATTTATCCAAGCTGGGTAACATCATCAGTGCTACTAGCATTGCAAGAAAACAGGCAAGCTCAGAGAGCACCAAAGACCCCCTCATGTCAACCCTGAGCTACAAATAGTCTCCTTTATTAAATCTGATGGGGTTAAACACTGCAATCCGCCTGGCAGACCTGAGAATGAGGGCACAGGCGCCCCCGTAACTGGGTTCGCATGGCGCGCTAAACCCCTGTAGAGTTTACCACTGAGACATTTGGCTGTGTAAACCCAGCCAGGATTGTTCCTGCACCATAATACCACCTGGGATGTGCCTCCAGTCGCTTTACTCTGCAAACCACGGTTGAACAAGTTGTGGCCTAGCTGGTTGTGTGAAACCGATCCTTGGAGGAGAGCAGGGTGGATTTGATTTAAATCGAGTTGATTTAAATCACAAGTTAAATCATGATTTAAATCACTAGTAAAAAGGCTTGATTTAAATCAACTCGATTTAAATCATAATTTTTAAAGAGCAACTGCTACTCCTTTGACCCACTGTTGACTCACCGATAGTCCCAGTGTTGCAGAATACACAGCCTCATGCTACATAACTAAGCTCCATTTCATGCTGAATAAACTAAATTATTTATGTATCTTAAACAGAAAACTATCTTACGATAGATTTTTACCCCAAAAGTTTTTTATTAAAATAAATTCGATAAAAATCAAAAAAATCCGATTTAAATAAAAAAAAATCATTGATTTTTTATCCACCCTGGAGGAGAGGGATGCATGGAGAGGTGGAGGCCTTATCTGAAGAAAGGTTGATGACTTGGATTTTCCTGCCAACTTTTCCTCTTGAGTGGATTATTTAGAGAAGGGCGGCAAATCTAATAAATAAACAAATGTAGATCTACGTCTATATATTAACTTACTCTATCCTCTCGGGAGGGACCCCGGGTTAAAAGTTTGACATTCTCTAGTAATTCTCTCCATAACTCAGAGCAAAGTCGAGTTTGCAGCCTGACTTGCTCAGTGCTGCAACAAATTTCTGTACCCATTGTTGTTGTTGTTTTGCATTTTTGCCTGGGCTTGCATTTCTCAAATATTCTTGAAAAGGTAGCATGTGTGAAGGGATGCTAGAGGCCAAAGGAATTCCCAAGCAGCCTTTGGGGCGGTCCTGTTGCCTGGGGATAGCAGCCAATTCCTCTCCAGCGTGTTTACTTTTCCAGCAAGTCCCTCTGGGGATTCACTTCTCTTCTCTCATTTGAGATGCTGAGCCTGGTTGCTTTGAAGGTGATGGAGTTGGCTGGCTGAGTGATGAGCGGCTGCAGAAGGCAGCATCTTCTGTTGCTTTTAAATCCTTAGCAAGGTGTTGCTTCATCATATTCTTATCCGGAGCTGGATAGATGATTTCTCTTCTCCGTTGGTTTTTAGATCCCCGTTGCCCCTTAGTGGGGGCTACGTCCATATGCATTAACATCAAGGTGTTGCTTTTCTGGATAGGCTTTTTTTCTTTTACAACAAGGGACACTTTCTTCTTTGCAACTTGAAGCTCTGTGGACTTCAACTCTCAGAATTCCCCAGCCAGTATGGCTGACTGGGAATTCTGGGAGTTGAAGTCTGTATCTCTAGGGCAGTGTTTCCCAAACTTGGGAACTTTAAGAAGTGTGGACTTCAACTCCCAGAATTCCCCATCCAGCATGGTTGGCTGTGGGATTTTGGGAGTTGAAGTCCATATATCTTGACATTCCCAAGTTTGGGAAACACTGCTCTAGGGAGCGGCTAGATTGGAAACAGCTAATTTAATTGCCCCCCCTCCATTTCTGCAGGGTGGAAAGCTACTACAGTTAAACCTCAGCAAGGAGAAACCTGCCATTCAAACTTGGGTTTTTGTCTAATTTTTTGATATTGATTAGGCATACCTCAACCTTTGTCATATGGAGTTTTTAGTGAAATAAGTTTTTTTCCTCCCATCCTGTTATCCTTAAAACAACCAGTCCTAGAGGAGATCAACCCTGACTGCTCTTTAGAAGACCAGATCCTGAAGATGAAACTGAAATACTTTGGCCACCTAATGAGAAGGAAGGACTCCCTGGAGAAGAGCCTAATGCTGTGAATGATTGAGGGCAAAAGAAGAAGGGGACGACAGAGAATGAGGTGGCTGGAGGGAGTCACTGAAACAGTCAGAGTGAGCTTAAATGGACTCCGGGGGATGGTAGAGGACAGGAAGGCCTGGAGGAACGTTATCCATGGGGTTGCAATGATCGGACACGACTTTGCAACTAACAACAACAGGCTGACAAATAATAATTGGTACAAAGTCAGAATCTTGAAGACCCTTATTCTTCTTGGCCTGAGACACTAACCTGTACAGCACAATGTTTCTCAACCAACACAACTATAGTACTTAGTAAGGGTTTGCAAACTGGTAATATTTCTTCTTAAGCAGAACTGACAACAGTTATCTCTGGCATCTAAAAGAATTGTTTTCCTCCAATCTTTAAGATGCTAACAAGTATGAGACGGCCTAATAATCTTCATCTGATGCTTAGATAAGGAAAGAGTTGTGTTGTCAAAGAAAAGGACCTGTATTTGCATAGAAGACTAGTCAGTTAAAGTGCATTGAGTTAGACCCAGGCCTGATGACTACATATATGAATAAATGCCCTCAACTTTAATTCTTAATCTATCCCTGCCTATAGGATGTTCCAGTCATCTTGATACCTTCCATTTAGCTCATCCTTTGCCTTTCTTCATCTTTTGCTTCCTTTAATCTTGTCAAGCATGACTTTTTTTCTGTTGTTGTTAGTTGTGAAGTCATGTCCGACCCTTCGCGACCGTATGGACAACGTTCCTTCAGGTCTTCCTGTCCACTGCCATCCTCCGGAGTCCATTTAAGCTCACACCAACTGCTTCAGTGACTCCATCCAGCCACCTCGTTCTCTATCGTCCCCTTCTTCTTTTGCCCTCAGTCTTTCCCAGCATTAGGCTCTTCTCAAGGGAGTCCTTCCTTCTCATTAAGTGGCCAAAGTATTTGAGTTTCATCTTCAGGATCTGGTCTTCTAAAGAGCAGTCAGGGTTGATCTCCTCTAGGACTGACCGGTTGGATCACCTTGCGGTCCAAGGGCCTCGCAGGAGTCTTCTCCAGCATCAGAGTTCAAAGGCCTCAATTCTTTGGCGCTCAGCCTTCCTTATGGTCCAACTTTCACAGCCTTACATTGCAACTGGGAGAACCATAGCCTTGACTATACGCACTTTTGTTGGCACTTTTTTTTCTAGTTGTTCATAATTTTTATTATATGCTCAAGGCCTGTGAAATACCTGTTGCTGATGGTTGTCTTAAGGGCATTTTATTGATAATATATTATGTGCCATCAAGTGCTTTTCCTGACCGCATAGCTAGATTTGCAGACTGCGATGAGGCTGTTCCTGACCTAGTCTTTCAAGTTAGGAAAATAGACCGTTTTTATTTTTGGTCCTACTAGGACTAACTTGTTGGTTCTTCTTGCAGTCCATGATACTATTAGTAACCATCTCCAAATCCCAGATCTGTCTTCCCTCTTTTTCTCTCAAAGTTTTAATTTTAAACATTGGGCACTATCACTCGCTTCTTTGGCTTGCTTCTTTGAATGTCGTCTCAGGTTTTCATTGCTATCCTCCATAAATTTAATCGTGTCTTTATTCCTTGAGTACAGAACACTATCTTTAACTGTTCTTGAGCTCAATTATATGTCATCTTCTTGTCTTTACGGTCAACCCAGAGTTCATTTCATTTATGGTTGATGCTACTTTGGGCTACTTAATGTGTATCATTAATCTAGTTTTTTTTTAAAAAAAAAAACTTTCATCACGGGCTTTTCTTAGTCCTCTTTATTTTCAGACGACAAAATGCCACCATCTGCGTATCTCAAATTGTTCAGGGGTTCAACTTCCAATTTTCATTCCAACGGCCCTATTGTCTAATCTTGCATCCAGCCGTGCATTTGTATACATTAAGTGGCCATACAGACAATATGCTCCCTTGTCTTTCTTGCATTGCTTTTCTGAGTCTTTTCATTGCTTTTTTGAGCCTGAGTTTTTTTTTCAAACTCAGTTATTACAGTAACTATTTGTTCATTGTAAATGTTCCTTGGGGGGAAAAAAATAATTAGATGCGTTCTGATACAGACATTAGCGTTAATCATTTCTAGATCTGTTCGGTGCCTCAAATTCCATTCAGAAGGGGTGCTTGGAATATGAGAGAGAACGAGCATGGCATCTATCTGTGACAGCAAGATGGGCAGTGAATAAATTGAATAAATTTAATGAATAAAGTAATGAAACATCTGCAACTCACTGAAACAGCAACTTCTTTCCAGAATCGTGGGACCTCGGAAGCAGACGTGTTAGGCTTGAATTCCCCGTGTTCTAAAACCTCTCTTCAAAATTGAATCTAAAACTTTGGA